CCAGGCAGCCATGGCACCATGGAGCTACATCCTCAGCCCTCATGGATAGTTTTTTATGTGGACACAGGTTCAATTTTCTTTTTTTTGGTACCGGGGATTGAACTCGGGTCCTTGTGCTTGCGCAGCAGGTGGTGAAACCACTGGGCTAAATTTCCGGACCCTCACAGGTTCAATTTTCTATGCCGAGTATCAGGAGTAAGATTGCTGGGTCATATGATCATATATATTAATTTTGTGAGAAACTGCCAAAGTGCTTTTTCAGAGTAGCCGTACTGTTTTATAGTCCCACAAGCCATAGGTAAGAGATCTAGCTGCTCTGAATCCTTGAAAGTTCCCTGATATTGCCAGTATTTCGTGTCTTAGCCACTCTAGTAGGTATGTAGTTTTGGTTTTTGTTGTTGTTGTTACTGGGGATCGAACTCGGGTCCTTGTGCTTGCAAGGCAGGTGGCGGCACCATTGAGCTAAATCCGTGGCCCAGTAGGTATGTAGTTTTATCATGGTAGCTATGGTACACATTTCCCTAAAGGCCAGTGATGCTGAACATGTTTCCATGTACATATTTGCCATGTGTATATTCCCTTTGGTAAAATATCTGCTCGAATCTTTTGCCCATTTTCTTTCTTATTTTTATCAGCACGTGTTTGCAGTACATAATGACTGCATTCATCTCTGGAGGCTGGTACAGGTACACAACTCATCGTGGTCCTTTCTGCAGCCCTTCCCCCTCCCCTCCCCACTTTGGCCTTTTTTGTTTGTTTCTTTTTGAGACAGAGTCTCGTTGTGTAGTCCAGGCTGGACTTGAACTCACCATGCAGCCCAGGCTGGGCTCAAACTCATGGTCCTCCTGCTCAGTGCTGGGATTAGAGCTGTGTAGCACCACAAATAGTTCCAAGTTTTTAATTCTGATGAAGTTGAATTTATTGATTTTTTTCCCTTTATGGATCTCATGCTTGGTGTCAGGCCAAAGACTTCACTCTGTGGTTGTACGACAAATTATTTTCCGTATTTTTTAACTCACAAGTGGTAATGCGATGGGAGCTGAGTGAGGCAACTTCATGTAGGAGAGGAGCTGCCTTTAGGGAGCGCCCAGGTGGGGTCAGCTCAGCCACGCACACAGGGCACCAGGGCCGGCACTGCCACTGCCGCTGCCGCTAGGAGTGCGCGCCGCTGCGCAGGTGTGCAGAGAGTGTTCTGGCGGGGACCGAACACTTGCCTTGGAGACATGGGCCAGGCTCCGCAGAGGAGGTGGCATTTGTGCCTGAAGGATTTCAATACTTGGAATAGGGGCAGAGGCGGAAACTCCAGGCCAGGAAGAGCTGCGTAAGCAGAGGAACAGAGGTGAGATGTCAAAGTCAAGTCAAGTAAAAGTAAGAACCAAGAGAATACGTAAAGGTGCAAATTTCCAGTGATGAATGTCATTCTATTGTATACCCGAAATGTACCAATAAAGGGATATATAAAGAAAAAAAAGCCAAATCAAGTAAGTGAGCGCAAGCTTTTTTTTTTGGTACCGGGGATCGAACTCAGGTCCTTGCGCCTGTGCAGCAGGCAGTGAAACCACTGAGCTAAATCCCCGGCCCAGTGAGGGCAATCTTATATTCAATTTTATTTATTTACTTACTTTATTGTTTTTTTTTTTTTTAGGGGAACAGGGATCGAACTCAGGACCTTGAGCTTACAAAGCAGGCAACGGAACCACTGAGCTAAATCCTTGGCCCTATTTTTTTTTTTTTTTTTAAGAGATGGGGTCTTCAGCTGAGCATGACGGCTCATATCTGTAATCCCAGGACTCTGGGGCCCATGGTGGGAGGACTGCAAGTTTGAGGCCAGCTGGGGCAAGAAGCAACTTAGGGAGACCCTGTCTCAAAATTTAGGGACTATAACTCAGTCCAAAGGCCTGTGTTCAATCCCCAGTACACACACAAACACATACAAAAAGAAAGAGACAAAGAGATGGAGAGGAGGGAGGGGAGAGGAGAGGGAGACTGACTCACTATCAATACCTAGGCTGGTCCAAACTCCTGGGCTTAACAGATCCTCCTGCCTCAGCCTCACAAGTATCTGGGATAATGGGTCAACAGGTATGTTCCATTGTGCCTGCTCGTATTCACTTTCAGATATGTAGTAATGAGCAAACATTCATGAGTTGATACCAAGAGGCAGTTCCATTTAGTGACTACACATGCAGCAGGGCTCTGATACCACTTCATATCTCATTTAAATCTCATGGTAATCTCATGAGAGGTAGTCAATGACTCAATCTGAGATTTCAGACCAGGTCTCGGGTAAGGCCTAGGAATCTGAATTTAAATTTTCAGGTAATCCTAATAACTGACTAGGTTTGGAAACCACTCAGGTGGGCAATTTTACTGCAGTTTTTAGATGAGTGGGCAATTTTACTGCAGTTTTTAGATGAATAATAGTAATGTGTTCAAGGGCACATGGCTAGGAATAATCACGATGCTGAACTGGATCTCTCGGGGAAAGAACTTTGCCCGGTCTTCCTGCCTCTGGGAGATCCAGTATCTAAAATGAGAGCTTGGAATGGAAGCACCAAAGCCCAAGAGCGGAGTCCTGGGAAGCTAGAAGCATGGTCAGCACTGCCAAATGCCCGCTGCAGAGCCTGGAGGGTGGCCTGAGCGGACTGGGATGAGCTCCCAGGGTGCCTGCGGCTGAGGGCACTCGAGAGGAGGAAGTCAGGCCGGGCTCCCCAGGAAACCTGAGCAGCTGGGAGGAGGGTGGGCGGCCTCGCCAAGAGCCTCCTCCTAGGAGACCTCTGCGGTCAAGCTGCCAAAGCCAGACACCAGGCCCTGGGGCCGGGATGCCAAGAAGGGAGGCAGAAGTCCGGGGGAGAGTTCAGGTAGAGAAAACGTACAATGCAATCCACTCTAGACTTCCCAGGGCCACTGCCACTTCGTTCGATTATTTAAGCCTTTTGGTTCACTTCTGCTGCATGTGTGTGTTTTTGTCTTTGAGGCACTGCTTCTCCTGGAGGATGAAAAGGGAGAGCAAAGTGGAGTTCCAACTCGAGCGCGCTGAAGATTTCAAATGGCCCTGAGTCATATGGCTGGGCGGACTGAGGAGAGAGCTCAGGCTGCGAGCCGTCGCTGCTTTGGCGCTCACACCAGCTGCTGTGCAGCACACCCTCTGGGCTGGCTGGATTCTCTCCAGGGGGGAGTCTGGAACCCCTGGAAGGTGTGGGGGGCAGTTTCCTGCAATCCTCCTGCCAAATCCAACTCGAGCCCTGCTGCTTGTAGCTGTGGAGCAGCATCATTTCACTGATGACAACTCCTTACCCAGACCCAGCTTTCAAAGGGCCTCCACCCCAGGCCTCCGCTGTCTTCCACTGCGCAGGAGCCAGGTGTCATTCCTGTGTCATTCACAGCCACAGTCCAAGCCCACCACCTCTGACTTTGCGCCCAGTGTTCTTTCAACCACAAACCAGCTAGGCGAGCCCAGTTAGGCCCATCCTGGCTGCAGGGAAATCAACACACTTTGAAAAGCCTCACTGCACCGAGAGGGAGAGGAGCTCTGCAGTGAGGAAAGGACCTGTTTGTCTGCTTGCTGGTGGCCTTGGGCACAGCGCTGCACTTCAGCCTCAGTGTCCTATTTGTAAGGCAGGGGTGGGGGGTGACAGTGCCTTGAAAAGTGGCCAAAAGGAGGTAAAACTGCACAAGTGCTGGTCCCAGGGCTGCCACTCTTCCATCCTTCACGTGCCGGGTCTTTCTGAGCCCAAAGACCTAAGAATTCGGTCTTTCTGGCTCAAGTCTCAGGGAGCAATGAGGAACAGAGCGAAAGGCTATGGAATGGCCGGATCATCTTCCAAAATATCAAGCACAAGACTGAGAGGCAGGCTCCAAGCCAGGTGTGGCAGTGGCACACGCCTGGAATCCCAGCCCTCTGGGAGGCTGAGGCAGCAGAATCACAAGTTCCAGCCCAGCCCGGGCGATCGATCTAGCGACTTAGTGAGACTCTCAAAACAAACAAGGGTGAGGGGCTGGGATGTCGTTCAGTGTGAAGACCCTGCCCTGAGTTCAGTCCCCACTATGAAGTAAGTTTCAAAGTCCCTTAAGATTCCCTTTCCCCCTTTGTTTGCTGGCCTGCCCTTCCTTTATTGGCCATTAAGTGAAATAAAAATCTACCCTAGACCTACAAGATCTTCCAAGACCAGGAGGCCCCCTGAAGTGCGGGATTCTCCAGTCCACTGAAAAGGTCTTCCCACTGCCTATCCGAAGGCTGCCGCAGCTGCCAGCCTCCCTCCTCCTAGCCCAGCACTCTTCCTCACTCGGACCGGTCTGTTTGCGGGAAGCGCTCCCGTCCAGAGAGATCTCCACAGAAAGTGGACCCCGGAGCCTGCTAGGGCTCCTGATTTCCGCAGAGCCGGGGGCAGGGCCCTGCTGGGGCGCGCGCTTCGGGGCCAGCGGCGGGTGCGGGGACCCTCAGATCCACCGCGGCCGTTCCACCGCCGCCCGCGTCCAGAAGAGGGCAGGTCTGGGACCTTAAACAGGCGCGACCAACCCAATTTCTTCTTAGACAAAGCCTCCGGGTTTGCAAATGCCCGTTTTGGGATGTTTAAAAGTGAACGTCTTAGAAGCAGAAGCCTCCTTCTCCTGGTCTACGGTGGGAACTGCGCCCTGCGTCCAGCGACCTGCAGCCTCTCCCCTAGCCAGGCCGGCCCGGCCTTCCCGGTTCTCTGCCGCTCGCGCCAGCGATCGCCCCTCCCGGCCCGCGGCTCCCCGCAGCCCTACCCTGGCCTCGGAGCGGGAGCGACGCCCCTGCCGTGGGCCGAGGCCCCTCCTGGCGCGAGGCCGGAACTCGACCTCCGGGACTCGAGCGGGGACGGGCTTGGGGTCGCCTGGAGCTCGGCCGGGCCCTCCAGGAGGGGACCCGGTCCCCCACCCCGCGGGAAGCTCCGCCCCTTCCCCCGCCCCGCAGAAGCTCCGCCCCAGTCCCCTCCCCGCGCCGCCAGCGCCTTAAAATCTGCGCTGCCCGCGCCCGCTGCCCGCCCGGCACCATGAGCTTTGGCTCCGAGCGCTACCTGTGCGCCTCCTCCTACCGCAAGGCGCTCGGCGATGGCGCGCGTCTCTCCGGGCGGCTCTCCGCGGCCCGGGGCGCGGGCGGCCTCCGCTCGCACTCGCTGCCCCGCGGGCCCACAGCCCCGGGCGCCTCGATCGGCCTGGGCCTGGCCTTCCGCAGCCGCGCGCCGGCGGCCGACGGGCTGGAGCTGAGCCAGGCGGCGGCGCGCACCAACGAGTACAAGATCATCCGCACCAACGAGAAGGAGCAGCTGCAGGGCCTCAACGACCGCTTCGCCGTGTTCATCGAGAAGGTACATCAGCTCGAGACGCAGAACCGCGCGCTCGAGGCCGAGCTGGCCGCGCTGCGGCAGCGCCACGCCGAGCCGTCGCGCGTGGGCGAGCTCTTCCAGCGCGAGCTCCGCGACCTGCGCGCGCAGCTGGAGGAGGCGAGCTCGGCTCGCGCGCAGGCCCTGCTGGAGCGCGACGGCCTGGCCGAGGAGGTGCAGCGGCTGCGGGCGCGCTGCGAGGAGGAGAGCCGCGGGCGCGAGGGCGCCGAGCGCGCCCTGAAGGCGCAGCAGCGCGACGCGGACGGCGCCACGCTGGCCCGGCTGGACCTGGAGAAGAAGGTGGAGTCGCTGCTGGACGAGCTGGCCTTCGTGCGCCAGGTGCACGACGAGGAGGTGGCCGAGCTCCTGGCCACCCTGCAGGCCTCGTCGCAGGCCGCGGCCGAGGTGGACGTGGCCGTGGCCAAGCCGGACCTGAGCTCGGCGCTGAGGGAGATCCGCGCACAGTACGAGTCTCTGGCCGCCAAGAACCTGCAGTCCGCCGAGGAGTGGTACAAGTCCAAGTTCGCCAACCTGAACGAGCAGGCGGCGCGCAGCACGGAGGCCATCCGAGCCAGCCGCGAGGAGATCCACGAGTACCGGCGCCAGCTGCAGGCGCGCACCATCGAGATCGAGGGCCTGCGCGGGGCCAACGAGTCCCTGGAGCGGCAGATCCTGGAGCTGGAGGAGCGGCACAGCGCCGAGGTGGCCGGCTTCCAGGTGAGGGAGGCCCGGCCTCTTCGGGGAGGGCTCGACTCGGCGGTGGCGGCAAAACCCGCGCTGAGCCACTGTGAGCTTCGGGGCCCAGGAGGAAGCGTTCCTCCCCCGCCCCGCACTTAGGTTCTCGCTTCGCCCTTCTAACAAAGAAACGCTTACGTTTTTCGGGACAGGGGCCGTGAGGCCCGCGCACTCCCGGTCTGGGCGGGGCGGTTCCCCAGGCTGCTGACCTTGACGGGCTTGGAAAGGCTTTCTGTGCGCCACAGAATTGATACTAATGGAGAGAGGTCTGCCTGAGGGTCGGGAGCTAGGAAGAGCTCTACCCATTTTCTTAATTTTTCCCCACAAAAGTGTGGAGATGGAGAACTCAGGAGCTGGGTGGAGACTGAACTAGGAACAATCGCCCTCTCTACCCTCCTCCCCGACACACTCGCGCGCCCACACGCACACGCACACACACACGCGCGATCCCCTTATCGATCTACTGACATTTGTTCCTGAAGAAAGCTTTACTCGGGTTAGCGCGGTAGACCCAACAGGGCGCTGTCCGCGGTGCTGATCTCGAGTTCCTTCCGTCTCAGAACTCTCTCTCCTGTCTCCTGTCCTAGTTATGAATCTCTAGGCAATTGACTGCTTTAACATTTTTTTTCTTTTGAAACACACATCAGTCTTGGCCACCTGCAGTCAAAGGTCACCTCATGGACAGCATCAGTGTTCACTCTCATGGATGGCTTAGCCCCTAACAAAATCCATTTAATCTGCTCAGCAGCTGGGGGAGAGGGGAATCCTACTTTAAATGTGGAAATTCCCATTACTTTAGCATTTTTCCACCTTAAGTGGATGTGGAAAATCACAGAGATGGTTTCTTTGTTATAGGTGACTTATTTTCCTATCTTTCCCTGCCCTGCAAGCGCCTGTGAAGGTTTTGATTGGCTCTTCCCTCCCAACAAAGGCTCCTGCGTCTTCAGCTTACTACACAGAACATTCTGGGCTTCTGACTACAAAGGGCACAGAGGGAGGAGACAGGGTGAATGAAAAATCTAGAAAACAACCAAAACAGCGTGGTTCCTTTTCAAGGTATAATAAAAGCTCCCTGGAATAGAATAGCAGTAAAACAGAAACTTGAAATAATTTGTTGTAGCTAGGATTGAAGTTTACATTTGATGAAATTAATAGAACATTAATAACAAAGAAAAAGCTTGGACCCTGAAAGGTTCTATTTTAGTCGGGAGCTAAGGAATGATCTGCATGTGTTTGTAGTTCATTACAAATAACCCCCTGTGACAAAGGAAGAAAACCTGCTTGGGCTGTTTGTTTTGGTTACTTTGGTATTACAATATTATTTGTAAAATACTTCTAATCTGTAACTTGAATGTTATACTAGGTGGGCTGGCTCCTGGCTGATGTGAATCAATCACACTTGATTAAATAAGACTTCAGGTTTTCTTCTAGAAGCCACAGAGTTGAGCTAGATTTCTTCTGGAGGGGCAGCCCAGGATTTCTATACAGAGTAACTCACCTAGCACCTCAGCCGCACTGGGCTTTGCTTACTTCAGCCCCTACGTTCTAAGAGGTGTGACAGTGTTGTCTGGCTTATTTGCTGTAAAAGGCTCTCAGTGTTAGACAAAAGAAGGATCATCCAGAGAAGGCCCTCAGGGAGCAGAAACAGCTGTGGCATCTGCAGCTCTGCAGTGCCACCCCCTGGCTCTGGCTGTGACGGGCCTGCAGACCTCAGACAATGGAAAGCGATTTCCCCACCTCAGGGGACCAAAGCCAGGGGTGGGGCTCACAGTTTGACCGTACACAGCCTGAATGTTCAAAGCCTCTGGCTGTTCTATGATGGCAGTGCTGGCCGAGGTCAAAAGCTCCCTGTGCCCAGGGAGGGCAGCCATTGTCTCCTGGCCACTGACCCCCGTCCTCCTTTTACTGGAGTGATGGGGAGCTGTTCTGCTTCTGCTTCAGCCATTAGTGGCAGGTCCACGTCCTGCCCAAGCATGGCAACCCTCAGAGACACCTGAAGGCCTCGTTAAAGTCACGTGGGTTTTCCCTGCCCCAGAGAGCTGATAGCCTATTTGAGGAGAGGCAGCTTATTACACCTTCTGAAGGATAGAGAATGATTCAAGGTGACATAGGAAGTACACAGTCGTTTGTGGGAGTCTGAATCAGGCGAGAGGAAGCAGGAAGAGCTGGGCCTATTGTCTTCAAAGGCCAGATGCAGCCGGCTCCTGCAGGAAAGTTGAAGGATTTCCCATTTCTGACCGAGGGGAGTTCTGGTCCCTGCATGGTTGCCTTGCCACCGTTAAGAGTCCCAATTGTGCCGGGGATTTAGCTCAGTGGTTTCGCTGCCTGCTACGCAAGCACAAGGACCCGAGTTCAATCCCCGGTACCAAAAAAAAAAAAAATGAGTCCCAGTTGTGCTGATGGCTAAAGATACTCTGGGCGGGCTCTGGGGTTGTAGACCTGTACTGTGGTTGTCTAAGAAAGCCAGAGCTTTCCTTGAAAGGCCTTGCTGCACAGTCGAGATCACTGCTGCTTAATGCTCTCCAGGGAGATGAGCCCAGTCTCCCCTCCCCTCTCCGATGTGAGATTGGAATGCAGCCTAATTAAATAGCAGGAAGGGACTGGCCCCTGGGAGATTGGAGGTGGCAGTGGCTGCAGAGAAATCTATAGCTTGATAGATCTGTTTTGAAATTAGAATACAAGGGGGAAGAAAACTACATGTGGTCATTTTCTTTTTTCCTTTTCAAGCTCTTCCATCTGATTTTTTGTTTGTCTTTCCCTTTTTCACGCTGTTATTGTCACCTGGGCCACCATGATAGATAGGTCCTTTACAGAAATACCAGTGGCTCCTAAACCCAGTGACACACCAAGGTCAAGTGGATTAAAAAAAAGATTGTTTTTTGTTTTTTTTTTTGGTACTGGGGATCGAACTTTGGTCCTTGCGCTTTCAAGACAGGAGGCAGAACCACTGAGCTAAATCCCCGGCCCGGAAAAAAAAAAGATTCTTGAAAAAAATAAAAAAGATTCTTGAGCAAGCCCCTAAGGGTGTGGATTCAGTAGTTCCCAGGTGGGGCCCAGGAATATGTATCTTCAGTAAAAGTGCTGTATCCCATCAGTCCCGGGGCTGATTTTGGAGTCCACTGACCTAAACCCCATTTCCCAGTAGAGGAGCTTACAGAGAGACATACACAAGATCTTAGTGTGTAGTATAAGAAAAAGATGTGGATGAAGCAAAGATGGAGTGAGAATAAGGAACAGTGCCTGGTGCCTGGCTGGGCCAAGTAGAAAAATCCTCTCTCCCCTACGTGAATTATGCGGTGAGCAACTCTGGACCCCTCTTACAGTCAGACTGAGGGACCCACTACCACTCACTGGCCTGGGCCAACAACCACTTCACCGGCTAGCTTTTCTGTTTCACTGGAGGTGCCAGCTTGGCTGGTTCTTTCTCTTCCAGCCCCGGTCTAGATGCTCAGCATGTGTCCCCAACTCCAGGAGAGACCCAGCTGGAGCAGGGGTACCTTTCTCTCAGACCCGTGGGCCCCAGCAGCTACGTGGCTGGGTGAGGGGCTGACTGCAGAGCCCGGCCTCCAGCTGGAAGCCATCTTTGCCTGGGCCTTTGAAGGGCAGGGCAGGACAGCCGGCACCCAAAGAGCCTGGGCACGGTGGGCCACCCGTGGCTCGCAGTCAGCTCCTCTGTGCCACAGTGTACTTTTTGTCCACTGATCCGTAAAATAGACATGTGATATGTCTAACATAAAAGTTCAGGGAAGTCCCATCTGTCTGGAACTCAGCTCCCCAGCAAGCTCCTATTTAGAAAACATAGCTGTGAAATAAATTTGTTTGGAAAAGGACCTAAGTAACCTGCTGACAGGAAGTATACATTAGGAATATGCCCCACCTGATCATTTTTGCCATACCTGACCCTGGACCATCTCTTTAATTGGATTTCAAGCCTGCAGATGGATAGAGGAAGGGACTGCTGGAATCCATCAGGCTTGGTCAAGGATGAGGAGCAAGGGATTGAGCCATCTCTCAGGACAAAGGGATACAACATGCAGCAACATGGATTCAAACCCTGCCTTTAGGGCCATTTGCAGATATTTCTGCAAATGGGTGGAAATAAACAGCTGGATGGATATACCTGAAAGATAAAAGATGTTACAGAACTATAGAAAAATAATTGATTGTTTTCATGACCCTTAATTGCTGAGCTAGCTGCATTATTAATATCCTAATTGAATATGTTACTTCAGAAAAGGCTTTTATTTGAAATTGTTATTTTTTAAGAATCTGATGCTTTGAGAGATATTCAACCAATAACCTAATATTACAGTTTTATTATACATTAATATTGTGTAATATAATCATTTCTTATTTACCTAAAGGGTTGTAGGAAGCTCAAGATTAATTTGTCCATATTATCAAAAGAGTAGAGTTCCATGGATTGTTATTAACAATAATAAAAAATCACTAACATTCATTGAGTACTTTTATGTGCCATACCCTTCTAATGACTTAGCTAATTTAACAGGAAATAGATTCATCTTATGCTAATGTGAGGTACATCAAACTGGAATACTAATTTGAGAGTCTCAAAATACCTTGGAAAAAAATAAATATTATAATTTTCCATATGCAGAAATGGAAGGTTTGAAGAAACTAAAACAACAACAAAAAACTAACATTGGATGTTAGTTACAGGGCAAAACAATGCAACCCAAAGGCCATGATGAAATTCTCCTCTTCCTCATCAAGCTTTTCTCCTGCTCCTTTGCATACTGGTAACATTTCCCCTCTTTTTGCTTTTTCTTTTACCCTAGACCCCCATCCTCATTACCACAGTAATACTGATTTTCTTGCCCCTGCTGCTAGGTAAAGCAGACTTGCTTGTAGGTTCGTTTGATCTCAGATAGCAACTATCAAGTAAAAAACTCAGGAAAAACCCCCTTAAGCCCTCCTGGTATTGTGGCATACTTTGAAATATCTGCATCATTGTCTGATGTCATCCCCACTTCCCTCGGTGCCTGTCATTCTTTGCTCTGCACCATGAGCCGACTGAGACTCCTTTGCAGTACTCCTGTCAATATTTATAGATCAGGTGGGTGGCATGAATTGTCATTCTTTCTGCAAATTCTCTTGACTTTGAAGTTCAAAGCCCCTGACCTGTCAGCCCTGCCTTACACTCCCTGCTTCGTCATCCCCACCCAAGTGGAGCTACAGGGCCATCTGAGTACTTGCTTTCTTGGCATTTCTGGTTTATTCACCTGCATGCCTGTTTCACAGAAATCACTCCCAATTGCTGTACTCTTCATGTCTACAAAGTTGCAGCTGAATTGTGTGAGCTCTTTGCTCACGGTTTTTCTGGTCGTAAGCAGAGAAGAAATGCTTATGTAGCAGCATTCATTCATTCACTTATTCATTCGGGTGTTACCTGCTGGCTTCGCTGGTGTGTATTGTGCTGGGATTAGGGTTCTCAGGGACTGTGTTAGTTACATTTCTGGTTGCCACAACTGGGACAGAGGATGTGAGCTCCTGGCAACTCATGGACAGACCCAGGCATGCTGCTGAGCCTCCTTTGAGTCACAGGACAGTCTCCCACAGCAAAGAAGTATCCATCCCCGAAAGAGTGAAACCCCGTCTTGTAGAAGAAACTAGTAATAAATAAACAAGATACTTTTTTTGTACTGGAGATCGAACTCGGGACCTTGCACTTGCGAGGCAGGTGGTGGCGCCAGAGAGCTACATCCCCAGCCCCAACAAGATACTTTTATATAATAAGAGCCGAGAGGCTATATGCAAAAGTTTGCTAATTTCCATTTTTTTCCTGATTCATCCTCCCTTCATTATACCGTTTTCTAATTTGTCCACAGTTTCCGGAGGAGCTAGCAGCTGCCCTAGTGGGAGGTAGAATTATGCTGATTAGCGGAGGGAAGGAACTTGAATTGGGCACAATGGAAAAACTGTCTGAAGAGAGAATATTTAAGTCGAATCTTGTGTGGCAAGGAATTGGCCACATAAAGACTTTGTACCTGGATGTGGTGGCTCACTCTTGTAATCCCAGTACTCTGGGAGGCTGAAGCAGGAGGATTGCAAGTTTGAGCCCAGCCTGGGATATATTGCATGTTTCAGGCCAGCTTGAACTACAGAGTGAGACCTTGTCTCAGAAAAATATATAACCTTCTTGCTGCTCAAGGATCATAAATTTAAAGCTATTTCACTTCCAGACCTTGGTCTGCACATTTGGAGCAAAACTATGACATTAATTTAGCTCCCCCTACACACCCTACCCTGCCCCCCATACAGGGAATTGAATCCAGGACCTTCACACTGAGCTACATCCCCAGCCATTTTCAATTTTATTCCTTGGTTTTTTTTTAATTGATTTAAAAAAAAAAACAAAAAACAAAAAAAACCCAGAATCTTGGTAAGTTTCCCAGGCTGGGCTCAAACTTTTTTTTTTTTTTTTGGTATCAGGAATCAAACTCAGGACCTTGTGCTTGCAAGGCAGGCGAGGTGCCACTGAGCTAAATCCTTGGCCCCCTGGGCTCAAACTTTCGATCTTTGTGCCTCAGCCTCTCAGAGTGCTGGGATTACAGGTGTGTGCTACCACATCTGGCTGAATTTGGGTTTATATTTTGTTTTGTTTTGTTTTTTGTAATTTCAAGACAGGTATGGTGGTATATGCTTGTAATCCCAGCACTGAGGGAGGCTGAAGCAGGAGAATCACAATTTCAGGTCTTGCCTAGGCAATTTAGTGAAACCCTGTCTCAAAATTTAAAAGGGCTGGGGATAGGCACAGTGTTAGTTCAATAGAACACCCTAGGTTCAATCCATAGCACTGCAAAAAAGAAAAAGAAAAACTTTTAAATTGTAATTTTAGCATGGCATGGTGGCACTCAGCTGTTATCCCAGCACCGGGAGGTAGAAGCAGGAGGATCTGAGTTCAAGGCCAGCCTGAACCACTTAGAGCCTGGCTCAGAAAACCAAAAAGAAAAAAAAATAGTAACTTTAGTGTTCAATTTGGATCAAAAAACAAAAAAACCAAGCTCTTAGGGAGTATTTCTGCTTCTCCATTCCCTGTCCCGAGAAATGTTTTCCGTGGAGTGTAGCAGACTTCCAGAGCCCATCCAGAGTATGAAGGAGGAGTGGTAGCAGAGAAGGCTCGCTGTCTTCACCTTTCCACAGCTGGAATATAAATATTCTGAATGTAAGCTCCTAACCTGATGCTTGGGGTTTTGGTAAGGACACACCTAGGAGTTACTCAGTGCTGAAACAAGCCAGGGAGGGTGGTAAGCCTGAACATAACATCTCCCAGTGTTCCCTTGGCAAGCACACACACACTCCTCGGTAACGTTCCTGACCTCCTTGTGCATCTGCAGTTCCTGGGGACCTTTATTTTAAGAGTGCAAAGGCAGGACCCCCATCTGAGCACAGATGAATGAGAATCTAGGCTGGAGACACACCTGGATGTACGTTCCCTAGGTGGTTTGAATTGTAGTTAGAGTTGAAAATCCTTGTCTTGTGGAAATCTCAAAGAATCTCAGTTCCTGTGGCCTAAATATTTCGCGTATGTCACTTCGCAGGATAGCATCGGGCAGCTGGAGAATGACCTCAGGAGCACCAAGAGTGAGATGGCACGCCACCTTCGCGAGTACCAGGACTTGCTCAATGTCAAGATGGCCCTCGACATCGAGATTGCTGCTTACAGGTACTTCAGAGGGCAAGCTCCCGGGCGGGTGACCAAGTAAGTCCTGGGCTCGAGGAGTCTGAGCAGGGGTGTGAAAAGAAGGGGCTTTCCTGGCCCCTGCCAGGTAAGTTACCCTCTCTGTCCCTCTACTCAGATATATCCCAGGTTCGCCTCGTGAGTCCTAGAGCTTTCTACAAACCTCTGGAGGCTGAAATAAAAATCCACCAGACTCTCATTTTAAATTGGGGTTTATACACCTAGCAAGTCGTGTCAGGTAGTTTCCCACTGGATTCCCAAGGAGAGGAAGAAAAGTAGCTACAGGGGCTATTTTTTGAATGACTGCCATGTGCCAGGGACTACAGTAGAGTCTTCATCAAGTCGTCCAAGGGCTCGGGTCAGCCACAGACCATGTGGCTTGCTCAGGCTCACAGTGGCAGGCTCAGATTCATCCTCCATCTGACTACTTCAGAATAAAGCTCCAAGATTTGAGAGTGTCTTGAGGGTCTGATTAGTAGAAAAAGAATGATAAAAACTATCGGAGCTACAAGAAATCAGATACTGGGACCACTCTTTTATGGTACTGGTTAGGGCAGGCTGGGAAAAGCCTGGTGTCTGACACAGCGTTACTCACTGTGGTTCTGTTCCCTTTGTAGTTTTACACATTGAAAAATACAAATCTTATGTTGGCTGAATTAGGCATTTCCTCTCTCCTGTATGGACTTCTTGCTGCTTTATACCTGTTGCAGTTAAGGTGTTAATTAGGAGAATTATTTCTCCCTAAAGCTTTGCAGACTCTTAATTGTCAAAACTGCGTGTGATGTGGCAAAGGAGCTTGTAGGTTTGCTTCAGGAGCATACTGGTGAGTAGGATAGGCTTCCCTTTGACATTGCTTTGAACACAGGTGCTGGAGGTGTGTGTCTGTGTGCATGCACGCAAATGTGCATGCGAATCTCCAACTCTTTGAGCCTTGGGATGCAATATTCTTTTTTTTTTTTGGTACCAGGGATCAAACTCAGGACCTTGCACTTTAGAGGCAGCCAAGGTGTCACTGAGCTATCTCCCCAGCCCCTGGGATGCAATATTCTTGAGCTTAATCTCAGGAAAGAACTGAACTATCCTTTGGGGTGTCTCTAAAACGAATGGGGACAGGACAGTTACATTCTTTAAAAAGAAAATGTCAAGTTGCCTCCCTGAGAGTTTGTCTCTGTTGGATTTACAGGAAACTGCTGGAAGGCGAAGAGACTCGATTCAGCACCAGTGGATTAAGCATTTCAGGGCTAAATCCACTTCCCAACCCAAGTTATCTGCTCCCTTCAAGAGTCCTCAGTTCTGCAGTCTCCAAAGTCTCGTCCACTGGGCTGTCCCTTAAGAAAGAGGAGGAGGAGGAAGAGGCTTCTAAGGCAGTCTCTAAGAAAACCTCCCAGCTAGGAGAAAGTTTTGAAGAAATACTGGAGGAGACAGTAATATCTACTAAGAAAACCGAGAAGTCAAATATAGAAGAAAGCACCATTGCAAGCCAAAAAATATAATTCTTTGCTTTAAAAAGTTAATGCTTAAGAGGGAGTAATATGCATTTGACGTGTGAAACAGCCTATTCCTGAACCTTAACACCTGTCACCACTAGATAACGACTCAAGGCTTCTGTCCCATAGCTAGCATTGGATACTTCTCCAGTAGGAAAGCAGCCCTTAGCTTGAACACAGCGCAGTCCTGGGGCGTGCGGTCGGGGAGGAGTCTTCTGAGAACACAGCTTTCTCTCCTCGGGCTCAGGCTTCACAGCTGTAGGTGATTCAGGTGCAGAGGCAGCGCGAACTGAGGTGCTAAAAATCTGCCATCGCCGTCCTCTGCTGTGAGCCGGAGTGGAAACCTGTGTTTGTTCTCTGTGCCCAGCCGGTACCCAGCTGTCCAACCTTACTCCAGATGCTCACCGCATAGGCCACTGCCAACAGCAGCCAGTGCTCCCCCGACTGCACTCTGCCAGAAGTCACAAATGATAGGTGTTTGTTTAATGGACATTTTGCTTTCCATTCCCTCCAACTCCATATGTTCTTTTTCCATCCAGGGAAAAAAAGAGACTGGCGTGTATTCCTCCCTTTCTAACACGTGGAGGTTCTTTTCCAGAGAACCTAGCCCCTTGCACTCTCTCTGCTCCCTGGGAAAAGTAGATGCATGCTGGCCGTGCCTGGGACTGCAGTGGCATGGTCCTGCCCGTTTCTCGCCCATCACTTCTGTGGGTTTGAAAACATGGCAGTGATGAATTTTAAGGGTTTTCCCTAACAAATAAAATAATGAAAAGAATCCTTAGATTTTAGGCTTTCCGCTTACTCAGATCCATTTAGGGGAAAAAACTGTTAAGAACATAGCTTTTCACCTTAACTTTAGAAGCACCGTGACTCATCCCAAGCTGCGGTGGAGCTGACCCTGGGTTTGGTAGTGTTAGGTAGACGAGGCGAGTGTCTCCGTGAAGGGAAAGGCCGAGGTGCCGTGTGTGTCAGTTCCTGTGTGGTGGTATAGGATTAGCTCTCTGGGCCCTCGCCCTTGGAATACCAGAGCCCCCTCCCGCGAGGCCAGCCTTCAGGGGCCTTGCCTTCAGCCTCCTATGCCTCTGAAGAGTGCCGAGTGTCAGATACATTGTTGCCAGGACACAGTGCTACTGCCCAAAAGTTAAACCATTTCTGGTCAGTCCACACCACCAGCAAATACAGAAAATAAGTATCTCTCTTTTCTCCAAGAGTCTTCCCCAACAGTGTCCCTATTGCTGGGCAGCGGGGGGAGCCCCAGAATGGTGTGTGTGTCCCTCCCTGGCCCCGGGGGAGTCATTGGAGCATCTGCTCCTCATCTGCCCACCTGTGTGGCGTCCACCTTGCCTGTATTCCTGGGTGCCAGTTTTGAGCAGGATTTGTTCTCTGTCAGTGCTCACTTCCCCCAGGCCAGAGAGAAGGAGCCGCCCTGGCCCTGTTCCAGTCCCGCTTCTTCCTCCTAAACTCCGTGGTGACAAGGACATGATGCTTTTGCAGGACTTTCTTACTCTAGCACATGCTTCAATAGTTCAAGGGACTCAAAAGACACTTTACTGTTCCCTACCCTTAGCCCAGTCCCTGTCTTCAGTCCTTACATTCACTGTGAGACATTAGCAAAAGAACAAATTAAAGTCCCATGAATCTCACCAACTTAACGCGCGTCCTGTGGTTTCTGCTCTGTCACCAGGGGAAGGGCCCCTTTGGGTTCCACCTGGCTCTGACTAATTTGTATTTTCCTCTTTTCAGTGAGTCACCATTAATTACCACGAACTCATTTACAGAAAACCTCAGAGTACCTTACAGACTTGATACATTTTGAGAACGCAGGTCACACAGAAAATGTTCAGACTCCTAAGGTAGAGGGGAAGGAAAGTACGTGACGTCAACTGTTACTGACAACAGGACAGCAAAATGAGTTGAGGAGATGGTAGGAAAACCAGCCTGCAAAGCTGATTAATGATCCCAAAGACCCAGGACCATTAGATGATGAGAACCTCTGCACCCTAAAATCTGTTACTGTTAATAATAGCTCTGCTTTCTTCAGTACTACTGACTGTCTGGGTCAGCCACAGATAACAGAATTATTTAAGCCTCACACCCACTCCTTAGGTGTATTTGTGTGACCATTTTACACTGACAAGGTGAAGCCACACAGTAGCAGAGCTGGGATTCGGCCCTTGGTCTTCAGACTCCTCACTGCTTCTTTCTCACCAGGACTCATTCATGTTACACTGCTCGGAGCCCCAGAACACCAGGCCCAGCACAATCCACTGCCTGTGCCCCTGCGTTCCTGTGAGGCACCAAGGTGTCCGAAGCTCAAAACTGGGCTCTGGACCTGTCCAACCACAAGCTGCCCCTGCCCTGCTACAAATTAGGTAGACTTGATTGCTAGTTCTCTATAAGAGGGTAGGTGGAGTCTCTTACAATTTTGGAAAGGAATTCTGTAGCTTTCTATCAAGGGGCCTGAAGATGATGGAATAGTATAGAAGGGAGGATTCTTCAAGAAGTAATAAATCTTTTTTTTTTTGGGTACCGGGGATTGAACTCGGGACCTTACACTTGAGAGGCAGGCCCCGGAACCACTGAGCTAAATCCCCGGCCCGAGAAGTAATAAATCTTCAAGAGGTAAATTCATTTTACAGCTTTGGCTAAAAAGAAGAATGCTATTCGAGCAATTCCCTAGAAGCTAAAATCCAAATTTATCTCCAGGGTTAATACAAGTTACAAGTGATCATGATAAATTTCTAGACTTTAACCTGTGTCAAGCAAGAAGGGCCAGTACTATCATTCGTGGCTCTAAAGGCAAACAGTGTTTTAACTGTATTCCAAAGTCCACTGGGACAGAACGCAGACTGGGGGCTGCCAGGGGTGGGGAGTGACTGACTATTCAGTGGGTGTGGGGTTTTATTTTGGAGTGAAGGCCATGTTTTGGAATGAGATGGAGGCGCTGTACAACACTGTAAATATACCAAATGTCCTGAATCATTCACTTAAAAATGACTGATATATTATGTAAATATCACCTCAATTTTTAAAACCCATCGGGTCAGGGATTTATGGAATTATCAGAAAAATGTCCCAGAAGGCTCTGGCACCTTCTGCTGCAGCAGAGACCATGGTGCGCCAGCTACGCTAGGTTCACCCTGGCGAGAAGGGATTTCCTTTAGGACAACAGAAGCCAGATCTCCTGGAGTATTGATTTCGAATCAGTGCTGAAGAAAAAGCCAGAAATCGCCTGGGTATAAAAGAGAAAAGAGCAAAAACAGCTGGGAAAATTGCTATGTATGAGCGTTTCTCATTGCTTTCAGCTGTTATTTTATTACCATCTCATCAGACATCTCCAAATTCCTGAAAAACATCTAGCTTGTAAGAGCATATTTTTCCCTTAAAATCAAATGGAGTATACATAGTAATTTAAAATAGAAATAACAGGGGCGGGGATTTAGCTCAGTGGTTCTGCCACCTGCCTCGCAAGCGCAAGGTCCCAAGATCGATCCCAGTACCAAAAAATAAATAAACAAATAAATAAAACAAAATGGAAATAATGGAGAGGGGACTTTACAGGCCCTTGAAACAGAGCTCATGTATGTTTTTCTTTATAGAACCATATAATATTAGCTTTGTGACATTTTTCACTTTAAAGCAGAAGCTAGACTAATGTCATTGTGGATTTTGTAATTTTTTTTTTTTTTGGTACCAGGGATCGAACTTGGGACCTTGCACTTGCACAGCAGGCGGCGAAACCTCTGAGCTAAATCCCCAGCCCTGCATTTTGTAATTTTGAAAGATCTCCCATGAAGAGGCCCTTTGCAGACAGGGTGAGTGCGGCTGCACCCAGCCAAACAAAGGGCTGTCTTCCTTACATTCCCACCCTGCTGCATCCCTTGGAGGTTGGAGAGAATGATTACTACGCAGGCGAATGGGCTCCTCTCGTCCTCCATTCATCTCCTACAAGAGGATTTGATTGCCCTATGTTTTATGATGAGAGTTCACAAGCTTACTAGGTGGGGGCTGGGCCAGCTAGATTTTAGTCTTTCCTACAAAGCACAGGCACAGTGGGGTTATAATAAGGCAGAGTGACTAACACTGCAGATTTTTAAAGATTTATGCTTCTGCAATGCCTCAGTGCCTCTTTGTAGCTCGGACGACAAAGAAAAATGAAGATTGATCCTGAAGGGCTCTGTGGTTTCCTTCCCCACTGATTCAGGCCCTAGGTGCCAGTTGGCTGCTCTCTCCCTGATGAGGCAGGTGGCCCCTGCTCAGTGTCCTGGACAATTCATTCTAGCTCTTCAGGGTTACGAATGCCCAGTGGAGCATAACCAAAATCGGCTGGAGTTTGGGAATAAATTAGTAACAGGTTCTAGTCAACTGCTGGTTGTTGCACACAGCAAACAAGCATCTTTCCTTAGAAATGTTTTGTTTTTTAAAAAAACAGGGTGTCTCACTGTGTTGCCCAGCTGCTTCTGAGCCCCTAGGCTCAAGTAATCCTCCTGCCTCAGCCTCTCAAGTGGCTGGGATTACAGGCACACACCACCAGAAGTGCTTGTTAAAACAAATAAATTATCTGCTATCCCACAAGTAGGAATAAAAGCAAGGTGTAGCATCTATCTTTGATTTCCTAGTGTAAGGATTTATATAGGACATTAAAAATTCTTAATGTCCTTCAGAGTTAAACAATCCTTCATCTTAAGCTAGACTTTAGCTCAATAATAGGGATTCTTTGGGCAACTCAAACTGTCTGTCCATGGAATAATCTAGTCTAAAGTAGAGGCAGAAGAGCCAATATTAGAACTAGGGTGATCTGGGGATTTAGTTCAGTGGTGCCGCTGCCTGGTGCGTGCGCACCACACCCAGCTTCATGATGACCCTGTGAGGCAGGAACCATTTGTCCCCTTTTACAGATAAGAAAAGCTAAAGTTTAGAGAAATTACATGACATGTCTAAGATCATACAGTTTATAAGCAGCAAATCTGGGATTTAAAGCTATGCAGCATGGCACCATAATTCATGCCCTTAACTACTATGCGAATATGCCTTTATGTCTTATTAGGGAAAATACATGCTCCCGGCAATCTTTGTTTTCATCTTCTAATTTAAAATATCATTTAACTACTTTTCCTTTCGGGAAAAGTTTCTTTGGAAACAAGAAAATCATTATTCATTTCAATAAAAATAGTTTCACAATTAGAGCCCTTGAGTATGGTGGTGCACACTTGTAATCCTGGCTCTTGGGAGGCTGAGGGAGGAGGACCACATGTTGGAGTCAGCCTGGGCTACATAAGGAGTTTGAGGCCATGCTGGACTAGACAGCAAGACCTTGTTTCAAAAAACCCTTCAGAGACCACAGACATCATCAGGAAAAAAATGCAGTAAAGATTAAGCCATAATATCTATTCCATGTAAGTAAACATTTGGCAGGCTTTCAAGAGATCAATGTGGCATTTCATTTGTAAGAGGACCGTTGATCTCTATAGGCTGTAAGATTTAGATTTCACCAGTCTAGTTTTGAACAGAGGCCAATAAGCGAACACAGTTTAGAAGTCAATGCGGCCCTTCCTGCTGGCTGCACCCACGTGCCGTTTCAAGCTAGGCTCAGGAGCTGGAGTCCAGCCGCAGTGCGTGCAAGCCTTTCTGGAAGCGCTCCTCGAACAGCCGGTCTTTGGCCAATGTGTCCAGCAGGAACAACAACAAGCTGCCCAGCAACCCACTGCAGTTACGCATCTGATCCAGTGTGGAGGTTTTCAAGTTACAACCAAGTAAACCCAGCAGAGGACTGGCAGAGCTGGTGGTGTTTATGGCCCAGATTGGTCACTGCTACCTGGACATCTAAGTAACTTTCCTCATGAGCTGAAGGATCTTCTCTCCTACAGTTACACTGTCTTAGAGCCAGATCTTCGAAAGACATTTTACAACGCTTTAAGCTTGCTGAGAAGTAAGAGTCTCATCAGTCCATCAAGTTTGATGGAGCTTTTCTTTGAACTTCTGCGTTGCCGTGATGTTTCTGCAAAAGACTTCACACACACAGATTGTGACCGATAGTAAGAGCATAAATGCAGAACAGACATTCATGCATCCCATCTGTGACAAAGGTGGACATTGAGAATCAGCGTCTGCTTGAATCTCCTCTATTACTGGTGGTTTTCAAGATGACAAAATAAGCATCGTGGCTGCAACCAGAAGAAACAAAATAAAAATTCTAACAACCACACACACCTCTGGTAAGCAGCTATGACCCGGTGCCTCCGTGAGAACATGCATGTAGGGCGAACGGGCACACGCTGTGGATGAGCCAACCAGGACAAACTGATGGGTCCCAGCATTGCTTTCAGGAATTCTAAGCCAACTTGCTGGGGTGGGTGGGCTTATGTTCAAGGTCTTGTTAGCCTGGAGTCCAGTGAAGGAATTGCCAGAGGCTAAATAAGCATGTATGTGATTCTAGCTAGGCATGGTAATCCCAGCTACTCAGTAGGCTGAAGCAGGAGGATCCCAAGTTTGAGGCCAACCGGGTAACTCAGTGAGATCCCATAACAGAAATAAAAAGTAAAAAGGCCCGGGGAAGTGGTTCAGCGGTAGAGCACTTGCCAGCATGCATGAGGCCCTGAGTTCTGTCCCCAGAACAGGAATGTATTTGATTCGAGTGGAGAGAAAGGCAGTGCAGTGGACAAGAAGGGAGGCTCAAGGCCGCAGGAGAGGACTAGGACCCGTACCAGAGAGAAAGTGGGGGCATTTAAGGGAGGAACTGAGGAGGCTGCCAGGCACACATCCTGCCAGCAACAGCCACAGGCATCTTTCCTGGGACCTTTGCTCAACATCACCTCAGATGGGATCCAGCAAAACACCAGGACCTGCCTGCTGCCCCATGCTTTCTTCAGCCTGCAAAATGTGCACTTCTTCCGTGCTTTGTAAACCTCTGGGCAGATGTGGCCATGAAGCTTTGCTCAGGGTAAAATTCTTCCTGAAGAGACTCTGTCTTCTCAGCTTGCTGCTGGGCCCGCCAGGGCAGCAGGGCTGAGCCCTGCTCTGGCTCTGTCACTTTCAGCAGAGGCAGAGTGGGGACAGGTGACTGGGAACACGAGGGGCCAACACGGCACTTGTTCTTTCTGCCTGGTGCCTGCCCGTCTGTCCTTGACCTGCAGCAGGGCAGCTATCATCTCTGTCTCTGTCCATGTCACTCCCGACACAGGCAACTTAAAGGAGCACAGGCTGATTTTGACTCACGCTTTTAGTTCATAGCTGGCTGAGCCCAACGCAGGAAGGTACGGTGGAAGGGTCTAGGGAGAAAAGTGCTCACATCTTGGCAACCAGGGAACCGCGGGGAGAAGCCAGGAAGGCAGGACCTCCCTACCGCCTGTCACCAGCCCCAGCTCCCGTACTAGGGAGCAGCAGTTTGCAGTCCACTCACCTCGAACAGCCCCGCTGTGAACGCATGAGACTTTGGGGATCCAAATGCAAGCCACGCAGCCTCCTCCTGCCAAGTACATTTCCACTTCTCCAATTTAACAGAAGCAACTACTCAGCCCTTGTTTCCCGTGTGTGTGTGTGTGTGTGTGTGTGTGTGTGTGTGTGTGTTTGTGTGTGTGTGTAATACTTTCTTGTTCTGTGTGTGTGTGGTACCGGGGATCGAACTAAGGGCCTTGCACTTTCGAGGCAGGTGCGATGCCACTGAGCTAAATCCTTGGCTCTTTTTTTCTTTTTAAACAACCCTTGCTCTTCCTGGGTCTCTCCCCACTGGTCCCCATCCTGGTGCCCTCTTCGAGAAACCCTTCCCTCAGCACCTTCAAGAAGTGCAAAAGGGATGCATTCGAGTTTCCAAGCATGAACTCTCTCGCTCTGAAACTGTATTTCTGCTGGTGAAGCCCACAGACTACAAGCTCGCTGGTGCGGGGAGTAGTTAAGGATCTGTAAGCCAATAACTCAGCACCCTGAGTTATATAATTTGCTGCCTAGCTGTAAGAATAGGTCAAGTACTTACCTCTTTGGGATTTTAGGTTAAGCTCAGGACAGAAGTTAAAAAGAAAGGGCAGACCTCTTTGTGATTCTCAGAGTACTTTTACTGTATTAGGGTCTTTCAGATGTAACACAGTAGGCTGAGCTCCTGGACGATAGGCCACCCCCTCCCTTTTAATACTGTAAACACGCGTGTTCTGGTTTTTATCTAGATGACCTCCCTGTGCACTCCTAGGCGGGGCCTTGGGAGGTGAGGTGAGCGGGCCCTCGGCTGGGACCTGGCCTGGTTGGAGGAGTGGGCCAATGGGGACGTGACCGGAAGCACACACAGCACATCCCTCGTGCTCCTCCTCCCCTTGCCTTCCACTTCCTGGAGGTGCAGAGAGCAGGCTGCTCTGCGCCAGCCCTTCCATGCCCTCTTGCTTGGGAGCCAGCTGACCTTGGACTGAAACAGGAGCCAAAATAAACCTCTCCTCCTATGTTTGGGGTGTTGGGTATTTTGTCCCAGCAGCAAGGAAAGTGACTAAGGCAATGCCTAACACTTGACTTCACTGCATAAGTATTTAGTATTCTACTTAAGCATTTTCCCATTACTCTAACTCATGAGTGGGGGTAGTTTCTTGAGGAAAATAGGGGGAAGGCAACTACTACTCTAAGCCTACAGGTGAGCCTCTGTGGAGGTAAACGTTTTGCTGAAACAGGTGGTTAAATTATCTTTGTGCTTGAAAACAATCTGGGTACTAAAGACAACAATCTTTAAACACTTACCTTTTTTTCTCCACTCAGCTCTCTTGTTACAAATGGGATACTGTAGGCAGCTACTAAAGATCAAGCTTTTTATGAACTGAGGGCTATGTCTCTGGCAAGACCTCTACCACTGAGCTATATGTCCTAGCTCCACTACTGCCTCTTTTAAGGAGTCTCAGGGTCTCGCTGTGTCACTGGTCTAGAAGTCATGGGCTCAAGTGATCCTCTTGTGTCAGCCTCCTGTGTAGCTGGGCTGTGTCTCAATCTGGATCTCTGAGGTGACATCATGCAGTGAAGGGCTGGTGACTTAGAGGGCTTTGTCTCGCTGTGCCTGAGCTCTTGGCCCACAGGGATTGTCATGGTGAATGCCTACTGCTGTACACCCAGGGTCCTGTACTGCACCTCCTCAGTTTGACTTCTGAGCAGGTTCTGAGGTGTGAACACTCGACCCATCCCATGGGCACCACATCCTACCTGACTGCCAATAAACACCCTGGGTACCAGGACTGGGCGAACTTCCCTGGCGGCGGCATCTTGCCATCACACTCACTGCTGACTAGACGCCCATGTCCACTCAGCTGCCCGTGCCTGTCTTCCCGGATCCCACGCTGCGGGCTATTCCCTTGTGGACTTTGATCTCTGCCATTCCGCTGCAATGAACAGTAACCATGTGTACCAGCTGTCCTGCCCGGGTCCTGGGTCCTTCTAGTGAGTTAGTGAACCAGAGGTGGTGGATCCGTAGTGGGATCCCAATGGGTGTAAATGTAAGAATGAAAATATTAATATGTGTAAGAAACACTGAAGAGGTGAAGTCTAGGGCTGCCACTCTGTCCATGGTCCAACAACAGCATCTAGCTCAATCAGTAAGGTAAGTATGTTTCTTAGATATCTATTTTTTTTTTTTCAGCACTAGGGATTGAACTTGTGGCCTTAGCACTGAGTCACTCCACCCCCTTGAGACAGGTTCTAAGTCACTAAGTTGCCCAGGCTGGGCTTGAACTCAGGATTCTCCTGTCTCAGCCTCCCAGAGTGCCAAGACTATAGGTGTGTGCCCCATCCCCAGCATAAATATCTATTTCACGGGAGTTTAACCAACTCAAGTGGGGCTAGGAATGTAGCTCAGTGGTAGAATACATGCTTAGCATGTGTGAGGCCGTAGGTTCCATTCCCAGTACCACCACCAGCCCCCAAAAGAGAAAAGAATAACTTTGACTCAGATACCTTGTCTGTTAAAGGGCTTTGGTTAAGTTTTAAAGAATCCACAGTAAACACAAGTCAAAATAGGCTAAAATAAATTTTTATTAAATGTTAGAAGAGATTTACACACAATTCACAAATTCTTTACAAAACAATTGCCAATCCTTATCTAACTTTGAGAGTTTCTCTACAGATTTGGTTTGCTATGAAATAAAGTTTATAAAATATTTCTTTTAGAAAGCACTGAAATGCTGATTTTAGACAAAATAATGTTTAAAACGGAACTCTTTGCATGAAAGTAAGCTCTCAAACACTTCTTCTTTTTTTTTTTTTAAACACCCTTATTCTTTATCCCAGTGAAAAATAATGCGAAGATGAACATTAAGCTGTTTTACTGAGGAAACAACAAGCATTCTGTAAACTTCTGAAATTCACCTGAATTTTTTATTCTTTCAGAAGCAATGTCAGGACTGGGGATTTAGCTCAGTGGTTTCGCTGCCTGCCGCGCAAGCACAAGGACCTGAGTTCGATCCCCGGTACCAAAAAAAAAAAAAAAGAATTTCTCATTTCCCAACTACATTTGAGTTTCAGATAAACAACAAATCATTGGGCCGGGGATTTAGCTCAGTGGTTTCGCTGCCTGCTGCACAAGTGCAAGGACCCGAGTTCGATCCCCGGGACCAAAAAAAAAGAAAAGAAGCAATGTCATTACAAGGTGACAACCATAGCATGTATGCAAATAAAATTAAAACATAATCACAAATAAGCACCTCTTATTGTAAAATATGTTAAGTTTTATTATACTGAAGGGTTTTGGCGCGGGCAGTAAACCCTACAGGAAACAGTCTTCACAGAATAGCGGTAACTCATCTACTCTAGAACTGAATGACGCCTGTGCAGTAGTGTTGCTAGGATGAATAAAACAGACGCAACTTCGAAAGATGATGGGAACAGGCAGAAGCTCCAAAGCAGCCCGCCGCTCTGGTCTTCCACGCACACCCTGCGGCTGAGCAGAGGCCAGCTCTGAGCCTCCTGTCCACAAGCACGCTTCCTTTTCCCAAAAGGACGCCTGCCCAATCACCAACCTGAAAGGGACACACTTGACAAAGGAGAAAACAGTAACCAATTTAGTTCAAAGACGGGAAGTGAAAATCAAAGTATCTGGAATCACAATTCAATGTTTTGAAGTTTCCCCTGAGCTCTGGTGCTTTTTATATATGGTCTCTAATGAAACAGATGCATTCCACGTCCCAAGTTGTACCCTGGTGCTAAAAATAGGTTCGCTATGTTGACAGCGCGGAGTGGTGGTGGTGATATGTTCTGTGGAAATCTTTGGTGAAATGCAGTCCTGCAGAAGCCTCCTTACTGTCTTCCCCTCCTTGCCTCTTCAAGTTATTTTCAGAGGAGAAACCACAAGACCATAATGAAGAACAAGCAGACCATCCTGAAAAGGGCAGAAAGACTATTTTTCAGTTCTCTGAAAATCAAAGCTGCCTTATTTTTCATAACCCAACACTAATGTGAAATTCTTTGATTTTTAAAGAAAATAAAGGGTCCAAGATAAATATGCTTGCTTATAAACCTACCTCATCACCAAACACTCCATTGCCAATGTTTTTGTTGTTTTTTGTTTTATGAGACAGGGTCTCACCATATTGCCCAGGCTGGGCTCAAGTGACCTCCTGCCTCAGCCTCCTAAGCTGGGCCTACAGGCACACACCACCACCACACCTGGCTAGCATTTGATGTCTTTTTTTGGTGGAGCTGGGGATCGAACTCAAGGTCTTGAGCACCCTAAGCAAGTGCTCCATAACTATAAGCTATACTCCCATCCCCTCCACGTGTCTTTTATTGACTCCCAGGAGCCAATTCTGTGACTATCACATACACAGGCAGGGTTGCTTACGACTAGTTCTCTAAAAGAACTAAAAGGAATAAAGCAAAGCTTATCTTCTTCACAGACTACTGCATATACTACTGAGCACTGGGTCTACCTGGAAAAGACTCACCGATCACAGAGTATCGGGGTCTGTTTAGGAGGTGCTCATTCCTCATAAACGCAGCTCACCACTGTTCCAAGTGATGCGACTCTGAAGCTCTTACCCACTTAATGGAAGCCCAGATAACCCTATATACTCCTTCCCCCTTGGATACTGTACTCGGGGCTGCTGGTCAGCTTGGTGCTATCACAGCAGTCCAGACGCTGTTTCCGAGTCTCTCATCTGGTTCTTGTGGCTCTGCCCCACCCTCCCCAGTGCTAGGGACTGAGCCCAGGGCCCTCACACTGAACTGCAGCCCTAGCCCTCTTATCTCTTTGTTGTTTCGGTCTGTGTTTTTCAAGACGGGGTCTCACCCTGTAGTTCAGGCTGGCCCTCAATGCACTATTAGCCGAGGCTGACCTGCCTCATGTACTCTTGGCATACACTGGGCATGCAGCTCTTTAATTAGAGGCCACAGTGTTACATGCACTGGGCTCCATAGTGGTACTGCTTAAGCAGGGAAAGGTCCTCTGAACTGTAAGGGTGGTTTCTGCCCTTGCCCCAGAGAAATAAATACCGAGAGCAGCGTCTCACTGTACCCACTTAGTTGTATCGTGTCTGCTCTTCATATTCAGTGTTTTCTTCCTCAAAGATGTGAAGTACTGTACCACAGAGGTGTACCCAAATGGACAAATATGTGTGAAATGTTTATATTGGCTTGAAGCTAGTTCCTCTGTCACCATGGGGAAAAGATGTATAAGAATAAAAGAAAGCGATCTATGTCATTACAGTTAAATTGCTTAAAGCACTCAAACCCAAACCCAAGCCCAAACCCAAACCGCCATGCGATGAAAGCTTGGTCCCCAGTGTGATGGTCTAAGATGGTAGAACCGTGAAGAGATGGAGTCCAGAGGAAAGTAAGGAGGTCACAGGGGCTCCACCCTCACCAACAGATTAGCGCTGTCTCAAGGTAGTGGGTCAGGTCTCAGGGGGCTGGATTAATCCCCTCAAGAACGAACTGCTAAAGCGTCTCACTCGCTCTCTTGTACATGTGGCCCTCCCACAGGCTACTGGTTCTGTTCCACTGCTCAGTCACAGGATCCCGGCCAGGGCACCAGCACCATGCTGTCTGGACCTTCCAGCCACCATCGCCATGAGCCGAACAAATGCTTTTAGTTTATAAGTTACTCACAGACTAGACAGCATCCAACCAGAATGCATCTGCTACAAAGTTAAGTCAGACTGTATCATTTCGATTTAGGGTTCACAACTGTGCAATCAATATTTTCCCACCATACTCAGTTAACACCCAAAGTTGTCAACATGCCCTACAAGGTCCTACACCCCTGTATTCCCTGACTGCCAGATCCCAGCCCCTTCCATTCCCTCCCTCACCACACCCTAGCTTTCCCTTTGAGAGCAATAAAGCATTAATTTAGCTAAAAGGTCTTGAGATTCCATAACTTCTCCCCACGTGTCTAGAAAAGAGCTCTGTAAATAACTCGCTAAATCATATTTTCTACCCATCCTACTGACTGGGATTTACCTCTAGAATCTTACATTTATAATCAAGCTCACTTTTTTTTTGTTTTCCTAAGACAGGGTCTCACAATGGTCCAGTTTGGCCCCAAACTCACAACATAGCCCCTTGAACATGTGAAATCCTTCTACCCACTCCACTAGAGTGCTGGCATTACAAGTATGCACCATCATGCTGAGAATGAAGTTTACTTTTTAAAAAAGATAATAATCATTTTCTAAGATTTCTGAAGTTTGACCTCATAAAATTTTCAGGAAATTTTTTTCTTTTGGTATCGGGGTTGAACTCGGGACCTTGAGCTTGTGAAGCAGGTGCCAGAACCACTGAGCTAAATCCCCGGCCCAGGAAATTTTTTATTATATCACAAAATATCCTTTACCTAGATAGGAAAGTTTTACCTTTATATTTTATAATGAATTTTTAAAAATTATTTTTTCTGTTACTAAAATATAACTATTAGTATAGTAGTCTATTTTTAAAAGTGTGTGGCAATACTCAATCACCAGAAGAATTCATCTACCTTTCTGTTAAGAGTCTAAGGTTTAATTTCAATATTTTTCAACAAATGACTCCTAATCCTACTACTAATAACCAAGTGACTTTGGGCAAGTAACTTAACCTCTATACAACTGCCTCCTCATTTGTAAGATCCATTGATGGGTGTGAGAATTAGAGTAAAGCCAAGGAGAAATGGGACATTTATATGGTTTTAAAGTATTCCATCCCAAATATTAATTACAGGAAAAAAATCTTCCAGTCCCAAGACATATGATATATCTTTTGATATGATATACTGAGAAAAGAGTATTAATTTCTATGGCATTCTTGTAAAAAATGTATAACCTCAACCTAGTGATGAGAAAATATATGACAAATCCACAACTGAAGGACTGTCTGTACGGTTAGTGACCAGTAGCAGTCTTTGCTTTTTCTTTATCCTGTGCCAGGATTGAACCCAGGGCCTTCACACTGAGCTACACCTCCAGGACCCCCACCCTTTCTCTTTGCAGTACTGGACAGCAAATTCAGTGATGCTCTATCACTGAGCTACATCCCCACCAATTTTTATTTTTTGTTTTGAGACAGAGTCTCATTAAGTTGCCCAGGCTGGCTTTGAACTTGTGATCCCCCTGTGTCAGTCTCTCAGAGTGCTGGGACCACAAGCATGTGCTAGCATGACCAGCTCTGACCAGTTCTCTTTAGCATACCAATGCTTGGGACAGAGGATATAGCTCAATTGTAGAGTAGTTGCTAGCAAGTCTAAGGCCCTGGGTTTAATCCCTGGGTTAGAAAACAAAGGGTCGTGGCTCTACAGTACAGCTTTTGCCTGGTAGGCCCTTGGTTTGACCTTTCATACTACAAAAAGAAACCATACTTTAAGTGGGGCCTTGTGCCATGTGCCTGTAATCCCAGCACTAAGGAGGCCGAGACTGGAGGATTGCAATATTGAACCCCATCTGGACTACAGTGAGACCCAGTCTTCAAAAAAAAAAAAAAGAGGTTAAATGCATCAAAGTCATAGGAGTGGAAGGTCCAGATCAGTGCTCAGCAGATAGAAGGCTCAGTTCTCAGGCATGGTAGTACATGCCTGCAATGCCAGCACTTGGGAGGCTGAGGCAGGAGAATTGATATGAGTTTGAAGCCAGCCTGGGCTACATAGTCATGAAAGACAAGTGGGCAGGACAGGGGAACCTGGAAGACAAAAGACATGATATCAAAGGGCAATGTAGAATTCTAGATTTGGATCCTGGGAGGGAAAACAAACAATAATGGGAAAAGTGGCAAAATCTGAATGTCTGCAGTTTGGCTAAAGGTATTAATGTTAATTTCATAGTTTTAATAACGTAACTACTGTGGTTATCTAAGATATTAATATTAAAAAAGGCTGGGTGATATCTATAGAGGATCTTTCAGTACTAGTTTTATAACTTTTCTGTCTTAAAAAGCTAAAAGAGGGCCCGGGATTTAGCTCAGTGCTTTTGCCGCCTGCTGCACAAGCTCAAGGACCCAAGTTCGATCCCCAGTATCAAAAAACAACACAAAACAAAAAAACAAAAAGCTAAAAGAAAAAGAAAAAGGTGGGAAAAGAAAAGAAGAAAGTGGCATACACTTGTAGTGCTAGCAGTCAGGAGGCTGAAATGAAGTATGAAACTAGCCTGGAAACATAGTAAAATCCCATCTCAAAGTAAATAAAACAACACAAATGTCAAATTTAGTGGACACACGCACACACATTTTGTGGTACTGTGGACTGAACCCAAGGGCACTCTACCATGGAGCTACATCCCCAGCCCTTTTCATTTTTTATTTTGAGAAAGGATCTTGCTAAGTTGCCCAGGCTGGCCCTGGACTTATGACCCTCCTGCTTCAGCCTCCCAGGTAGTTAAGACTGCCACTGTGCTTGGCTGTAAAGTTGATTTTTCCACCTATGTTCATCAGGGAGATTGGCCTATAATTCTCTTTTTGGATCCTTTTCTGGTTTTGGAATTAGGGTAATGCTTGCTTCCAGGAATGAAGTTGGGAGTATTGCTTCCCTTTCAATTTCATTAAAGAGTTTGAGGAGTAGCAGCACTAGGTCTTCTCTAAATTCAGCAGTGAACCCATCAGGGCTTTGTTGGTAGGTTTCTAACTACATATTCAATTTCATTAGCTGATACTGATTTATTCAGAACTTTTATATCTTCTTGATTCGGTTTGGTAATTCATATTTATCTAGGAATCTGTCCATTTCTTCTGTATTCTCCGTCTTATTAGAATACAGGTTCTCAAAGAAGGTAATGATGATCTGGATTTCTGCAGGGTCTCTTGTGATTTCACCCTTTTCATTCCTCACTGCATGGATTTGAGTTCTTTCCTCCGCCGCCCTCTTTCTTTCTTTCTTCTGGGGATTGAACTCAGGATCTTGCACTTTTTCTTTCCTTTTTTTGATAAGGTTGGCTAAGGGTTTGTCAATTTTATATTATCTTTCAAAGAAGCAACTTAATTCATTGATTCTTTGTATTGTTTTCTTAGTGTCCATTGCATAAATTCTCTGATTTTTATAATTTCCATATGAGCTTTGGGCTTGACTTGTTCTTTTTCTAGAAGCTTGAGGTTCAATATTAGGCTGCTTTATTTGAGCCTGCTGTTTTCCTGATACGGGAATTCACCGGTATAAATTTCCCTCGTAGGAACACTTTCACTGCATCCCATAAATTCCAGTATGTTGTACTGTTATTATTGTTTAATTGTAGAAATTGTCTGATTTCTGCTTTAATTTCATCTGTGACTGGGGACCGAACTCAGGACCTTGTGGTTGCCAGGTAGATGTGGTGACACTGAGCTACATCCCTGGCCCTGTCAAGTCTTATTTTTTTTTTTTTTGGTACTGGGGATCGAACTTGGGTCCTTGTGCTTGCAAGGCAGGCAGTGGAACCACTGAGCTAAATCCCCGGCCCAAGCTAATTTTTAAAGATAAATTGTTTTAAATTTTCCAGCAAGTTGACTTTGGTTAATTTGGTAGTATTATCTTCACAGCAACCTTTTTATGATTTTAAAATAATTAGAAGGAAATGGCATTTAAAAAAAGCAATCAATGTAGGTTAATTTCAATCACAATTGATGCATTAGGTTGATTTTGAATATGTTAATAAGCAGACCATTAATAGACAAGAAGTGTCTCGGCTCATCTTGTTTTCCCTGCCCTGGCCCACTCTGTCATGTTCCTTTCTAGTGGAAAATAATGGCATTTAGAAACCAGGATCTCCTAGCCAGGTGTGCGGTACATGCCTGTTATCCTAGCACTTGGAAGGCTGAATAGGAGGATTTCAAGTTCAAGGCCAGCCTGGCTACACAGAGACCTTGTCTCAAAAACCCAAAACCATGGGGCCGGGGATTTAGCTCAGTGGTTTCGCCACCTGCTGTGCAAGCGCAAGGTCCGAGTTTGATCCCCAGGACCAAAAAAACCCAAAACTCAACAAATAAAACAAACAAAACATGAACAAAGAAAGAGCAAAGGGGGGAAGGTAAGTCCATATAAACTGCTTAGATCAGTGCCTGCCACACAGGAAGCACTTAATAAATATGAGCTGTAACTATTACTTGTGGTCCAGCTCATCTTAGGAAAATCGTAGGTTATGCACAGAACTCTGCTGAGAAGATGGAGTCATCATGCGCCTGTCCGAACAGGCCCTGCTCAGCCTGAGACCCACCTGCATAGCCGCTTCCCCAGCTGCCCGCCGGATCTCCCTCAGAGTCTGGCACCGCTCCAGCAAGTGGTCGCCACAGAGGATGTCCACCTACGGAGACAAGAGACGCCTGCATTGGGCTGCCTTCCTGCCCACAACACCTCCAAGAAATGAGGGGGAACCAACAGTTACTGCAGGTTGGGCCGCGTGGCTTATTTTAGACTTATTAAACCTTCTAAAGCAAGCCGAAAGGTAAGTTGGGAAGAACACTGAGGGACACAGCACTGTATAACATTCAAGATGATTCCTTGAATCTTGGAGAAATTAAATCGTGTCCAGTGTATTCAGCACAAAATGGCACAAGAATATTTTTTCTAAAGGTTTCATGATAAAATAATTAGATAATATTAATGATTAAGAAGGTGATCCTTTAATAGTTCTCTTATGAGGAATTCTTTTATCCAACAATACCATATGTGACTTAAAATACTAAGAAAATTTTTGTGAACAGATCAACCTTAACATAATTTTTTTTTTTGAGATGGGGTCTCACTGGCTATTCCAGGCTGGCCTTAAACTCTTGGCAACCCTTCTGCCTCAGCCTCCTGAGTGCTAGGATTATAGGCATGCACCACCACACCCAGCAGTTTAACACAGTCTTTTCAGCCCCTTACTGATGTTAAAGCTCTAAGATCTACCTACTGTTTATACAGAATCCTCCAGAAAAAATAATGTAGAATTATATACTATATTGCAATAAAATTTCAGTATATTTACTAAGATCAAAATGCAAATCTTTGGGCCAGGGGTTTACCCCAGTGGTTCTGTCACCTGCCTCGCAAGCACAAGGACCCGAGTTCGATCCCCGGTACCAAAAAAAAAAGTTAAAAAATGTTAAACAAAATGCAAATCTTTAATCTCTTTGATTGAGCACTTCCTTAACATTACCTTAAAATGGAGTCAGGTCCTCATCATCTTTTTTCTCCCCACAGTACTAGGAAGTGAATCCAGGGCCTTCTCACTGAGATATAGCCCCAGTTCTTTTTTATTTTTTATGTTGAGACAGAGTCTAACTAAGTCACTAACTTGCCCAGGCTAGGTCTGAACTTGTGACCCTCCTGTCTCAGCCTTCCAGAGTGCTGGGATCATAGTCATGCATCACCACCCCTGGCTAGTTCCTCGACTTATTAATACCTATCACTTAATTGGCTCCATCTCTAGAAGTCCTTAGTTTATAATTTGAGATTTCTCCTTGTCCTTTAAATCAGAATATCACCTCTGACTCCTCCTCCTTTTCCTTCTCACATGCAATCAGCTGCCAAGTCCTGTGCTTCTTTCTTCCTATCCCTCAATTTCATAGCATATCCATCAACTGCTGCCCCTAAGCTAAAACCCCTAAAACCACACACTCCCAAACCAGAATTCTACTTGAAAAAAAATCCTCAGGGCTGGGGGTACCTCAACGGCATGCATAAGGCCTCGGGTCTGATCCCCTACACCAGCACAACCCAGTCCCAAAAAGGAAGTCAATAATAAACCCTACACACTGCCCACACGAACATCTCCCAGAAACTTGCAGCATAGTTGAGAAAGAAGAGTACAGCCGTTGTGTTTAATTAAGTAGCCATGTATTTGACATTATTAGCTAATCCTCACATTCTTGTGAGCTAGGTATTACAATTCCCATCTTCCACACCAGAGTAGTAAGAGGTGAAGACACTAAACTTTCCTAAAGTTACAAAGCTAGTAAGTAGCAAAGTTCAGCTCTGAATCCAGATCTGTCTCTAGCTCTTTCTCCAAAGCCTAAAAAAGCATAATAACTTAAAGAGCAAAATAAAAGATAATAGGAAACAGGGAGATAGATCTTTTTTTTTTTTTGGTACCAGGGATCGAACTCGGGACCTTAGGTAGATCTTTTGTAAATAGGAAGGGGCCTGAGACATGGAGGGGAGAGGAAAAGGAAGGGAAGAAGTACAAAAAAAATTAAGATGTGTTATGCACATGTATGAATTCCCCATAATGAATGAAATCATTAGTACTGCAAACATGTACTAATTTTTTTTTACCTGGGATCGAACTCGGGTCCTTGCACTTGCTTGCGAGACAGGCAGCGTAACCACTGAGCTAAATCCCTGGCCATACTAATAAAAATTTTAAAATCTTGTTGGGCTGGGGATTTAGCTCAGTGGCACCGCGCCTGGCTTGCAAGCAAGTGCAAGGTCCTGAGTTCAATCATGGTACCAAAAAAAATCAAAACCAAAACCAAAAAAAAAACCTTGGGCAAGGTAGTGCATGCCTGTAGTCCCAGCACTTGCAAGGCTGAGGCAGGAGGATCATCCCAAGTTCAACGTCAGCCTGAACTAGATAAAAAAAAAAAAACCCTCCTAAAAACACCATTTTAGTGCTAAAAAACTTCTATAAAGGGCTGAATAAGAGTTTATGTTTTATGGGCCACAGGACATCTGTCATAGCTATTGAACTCAGGTGTTATAGCACACAAGCATCCATGGCTGTGTCCAATAAACCTTTATTTGTAAAAACAGGTGGCAGGCTAGATTTGGTCCTCAGGTATGTGGACCCTGGATTTTTATTGTTTTTTCTTGAGACAGTCTTTTTTTTTTTTTTTTTTTGGTACCAGGGATTGAAATCGGGTCCTTGTGCTTGTGCAGCAGGCAGCGAAACCACTGAGCTAAACCCCCGGCCCTAGATAGTCTTTTGTTTTGTTTTGTTTTTGGTACCAGGGATCGAACATGGGTCTTTGTGCTTGTGAAGCAGGCGGCAGAACCACTTGAGATAGTCTTGCTACATAGCCCAAGTCTCAAACTCCCAGTCCTCCAGTCCAAGTCTCCCAAGCCCTGGGATTACAGACATGCACCTCCACACCCCACTCACCAATGGCTTTCTATGTCATAATGATGTGATTCAGATTTGTAACAATGATAGTGTATACATTTACTAGCTTTAAAACTAGCAGACCAATACTTGTCGGCAAAATACTTTGAAAATATGATGACTTCAGATCTTGCACTCAGAACTCAGATCCATGAAAAAGTAAAGATTTTGAAAAAAAAAAAAAAAGTAAAGATTTTGGAAGCTATTATTATTGTTGTTAGGTATTCAGCAATCCAGAAATCATTATTCTTAGTGGGCTTTACTACATGGTATACTATGACTTGATTACCATGTTTTCCTTTTCAACCCTGAATCTGTTTGCTTGCTTGTTTTTTATGGTACAGGGGCATTCTACCCAGGGCATTCTACTAATGAGTCACACTCCCCAGTTTTATTTTGTTTGTTTTTGGAGACAGGGTCTCGCTAAGCTGCCCAGGCAGGTCTCAAAACTTGATCTTCCTGCCTCAGCCTCCTGAATAGCTAAGATTACACCTGACAACAATTTTCTTAAAAAATTATAATTCACTGTGACAAATTCAAAAGCATAGTATTTATAACAAATTTTTAAGAACCATAACATTATAGCCAGGTGTGGTGGCACACACCTTGAGAAGCTGAGACAGGAGAGTTGAAAGTTCAAGCCCAATACGAGCAATTTAGAGACCTAGACTTAGTGAGATACTGGGTCAAAAAAATAAAAATAAAAATAAAAAATAAATTTAAAAAAGGGCAGACTGTAGCTCAGTGTGAAGGTCATGGTTTCAGTACCACAGGGTAAAAACAAAACCCAAAACGCAGCATTATAGAAAGTAAATGGTAGACCAGGGATTTAGTTCAGTGGCACTGCGCCTGCCTTGCAAGCACAAGGTCCTGAGTTCGATCTCCAGTAAAGCAAAAAAAAAAAAGGAAATGGTAATTCTTTCCACAGTTCAATCCCAACCCCTAGCAAATGGCCAGTTACTGACCATTTGATATGTGTAGTGCTAGATGCTGTGTGCACATGTTGATTTTCAAAATCATGTCTTTACAAAAAAATGCGATCATGCCACAATACCATTTTATAATATTTTAATGAAAACCTCAAAAATTTCATAATCCCAGAATTTAGGAGGCTGAGGCAGGAGGATCACAAATTTTAGGACATCCTGGGCTGCACAGTGCATTCAAGGCTGGCCCGGATTACACAATGAGACTCTGTCTCAAAATAAACAAAATAAAGGGGCTGGGGATTTAGCTCAGTGGTTCTGCAGCCTGCTTTGCAGGTGGCAAGGTCCGAGTTTGATCCCCGGTACCAAAATAAATAAACAAACAAACAAAATAAAATGGATAAAAGAATACATGATTTTTTAAAAACTAACTTCCCTTGGTGTTTTCTTATTTTGTTTGTTTGTTTGGCCACAAACCACTTCAAATGCAGTTTATTCCTCAATAGTTCACTGGTAATTATTCCTCCCTGCTAATAAACAACCATATAGAAAGGTCACATATCTGTAAGCAAAACACACAGCGCACTGCCTACCTGGGACTCCCTGGCTTAAAGAACGTCCACACAGAAGACTCAAGTGTCTGGGAGACATCAAAAGTCTTTTTCTGATCACTGGCTACCCAGCTTGATGGTTCCTTCACATCAGAACTAACTCAGTTATTTACTTTCTCTGGGATGCAAAAAGCTTAAAAGGTCATAGTCACAAATTAATAGGTGTGCATATTTGATAACTGGGTTGCACTGTTTTAATATTTTGGTGAAATAAGGGAAATATTCCTTAAGGAAGGAAGGAATATTTACTAGAGATCTAAGAGCTGACAGAGAAAATTAAAGGTTGAAACAAAATTTAAATCATTTTATTTCTTTTTGTTTGTTTGTTTGTTTTTGGTACTGGGGATTGAACTCAGGACCTTGCGCTTTCGAGGCAGGCGCTGGAACCACTGAGCTAAATCCCCGGCCCTAAATCATTTTATTTCTAAATGTTACAAACCTTGAATTCTACAAAAAAAAGAGAAGCCACATTTTTATATAATAAAATCAACTTAGAAGATAGATAGCTACTATTCAACGCGGTGACTATAATTAATAACAATGCCTTTTTGTTGATTTTTTGTTTTGAGGTACCAGAACTAAACCCAGGGCCTGATATGCTAAAAAAACAATCCATTCTTGAAAAGTACTGAGTACAGATTTTAAGTATTCTCACCATAAAAAAATAAGCACGAGGCCATGCTATGTTAGTTAATTGACTTAGGCATTCCATAGTATAAACTTCTTGTCTACATGACAAATACGTATCATTTTGTTGATTAAAAAAAAAAAAGGAGCTAGGTGTCATGGCACATACCTATAATCCCATCACTTGAGAGGTTGAGGCAGAAGGATCACCACAAGTTCAAGGCCAGCCTGGGCTACATAGTGAGTTCAAGGCCAGCCTAAACTACATAGTGAGACCCTGCCAATCAATCATTCAATCAATCAATTAATCAGTCAATGGGGAGAACCCAAAACCCTAATTTTGATCTTTCTTAAGTCACCAAATAGAACACTTATAAATAGGAATTGTGCTCTGATCAAAATCTAGCCACAGAAGATGTAATCTAAATCCTACAGAGGGCGGTACTGGGTATCCTTATTTATCTTATGCTATCAGAGGCAAGTTTTCTGATTTCTGTTTTTAGAAATAATATACTGACATGAGATCACTCACAATTCTTTATCCAGGAGACCTTGTTTCTAACCAAAAGCCTAAGAATAACTTCAAGCAAGCTGGGTGTGGTGGCTCATGCCTGTAACCCCAGCACTCTGGGAGGCCGAGGCAGGGGGATTGCAAGTTCAAGCCCAACCTGGGCAATTTAATGATTTAGTGAGACCCTGTCTCAAACAAACAAACAACTTTTAAATTAGAATAATGATAAAACAAAGCTAAACAAGCATGCATTTTCACTGGCCCCACAACTGGAACTATAAGTATATTAGTATTTTAATGTGTAACAACACATAAGATTTCCATCTTATAACAACAACAAAAAATACTATATACTTAGAATAGAAGATACTTTTCAATCCTTAAAAAACTGGTAGTGCCTATATTAGACAGATTTTTCACTTTTCTAGGTGTTTTGAGCTTTTCTCTGACACCAACAGACGGTTATCAATGGCAATAAGAAATGGACAGGAAAAAAAAAAAAGAAATGGACAGTAAACCAAATGAATGTTGGAGGAAGGAATCACTGTGCATCAATATTCAATTAACATTTACAATGTCTATAGAATTATAAAACAAAACCCACTGCATGAAATCCTAGGATAGTTCTTTCTTCAATATGCTAAAGGTAATCTTACAAATTTACCTGTTGTTTTACATACATGTACTGTACCTGACAGGCCGGATCAAGACTCATTTTTCTTCTGAGGAATTTTTCTACATGCCCAATAGTTGCTTCTCCTGAAACTCGGACAAACTTCTTTTCTAATGGCTACAAAAATGAATAAATAAAACTATTTTCAGACTACATATATGTATATACATAGTATGTATAATATTTAAAACAAATGTTAGAGCAAAGATGATTCAGCAGGCCTTCCTTTCTTCCTGTCCTGGAATGCAACTCAGAGCCTCCTGCATGCCAAGCATGCACTCTAACACTACACTACATCCCCAGGCTTCAGTACTTTTGTTTTGGTGTGGTGTTTTGAGAAGGGTCTCATTCTGTTGCCCAGGGTGGCTTCAAACTCACAGCACAATCCTTCTGACCTCTCACTGGCAGGGCTGGGATGGGATTACAGGCATGTCAATAGACTCTTGAAAGAAAAACTGCCATCAAATTTGAGTCAGTCCACTGCAGTGCCCACCGTATTTGAGAGCGTTTAATCAGGAGCCATTTGGGGAAGGGAATGTTTAAGACTGGGCCACAAAACAACTATACGCCTGGGCTTTTGGGGTCAGCTTAGCCCAGGACTGGGTGAGAGATGGCCACAAGAGACAGCTGTGCAGACACCGTGAGCTGGACACAGATCGCCTGGAGCTCAGGCTGGGAAGGACTCGGGTACCCTCTACAGTAAGAAGCCAGGCAGGCATGTGCAGCTTCCAGAGAGCTATGTCTGGAAGTGCTAGCACTAAGTCCAGCACACCGCTTGAGACCCCTCCCTATATTAGCACAGAACTGAATAGTCTGATTGCTTTCTCCATCTACCAGCTTGAGCAAGAATATGGCTTGACTCGGATAGTCGCTACAGCCTGGGATGTATGGAGCAGGGGCTCTGGAGCAGGGGGTACCTCACAAACCCTCTGGGTGTAAAGGTGGGGAGAAAAAACCATGACTGGGGGTGCACAGAGGACAGAGAATGTGGGAACTGCCTGAGTGACTACTGCCACCACTGACCGACCACGCTCAGTGGGAAAAGAAGGGCAGGACTCAGCATTCACATAAATATGCGATGTGGAAACAAAATAGGTCTTAACAGTGATTCACTATCTCTCCCCCATCTCTACTAGATTCCAGGACTGCAGACCCTGGAAAGAAACCACTCATTCAAAAACAGGAATTTCTTTGGACTCTTTGCTTCACTGGTTCTTTACGGTTGGGTTTTTTTCTTTTCCTTTTCTTTTCTTGTTTCTTCTTTTCTGTTACTTTTACCTAATTCTATTAATTTCTTTTTACTCTTTCGTAGGACCCTTTATCTTGCTTTTTTCTTATCTTTTTTTATTTTTCAAATTTTACTCTTTTTTTGGTACTGGGGATCAAACTCAGGAACTTGCCAGGCAGGCGCTGTGGCACTGAGCTAAATCCTTGGCCCTCAAATTTTACTTTTGTTTTTTTGGTACTGGGGATCGAACTCAGGACCTTGCCCTTTCGAGGCAGGCAGCAGTACCACTGAGCTAAATCCCCAGCCCAAATTTTACTTTTGTATTTTCCTGTTCCCATCCCCTCTTTCTTTTTTTTTCTTTTTTTTGGTACCAGGGATCGAATTTGGGTCCTTCTGCTTTCGAGGTAGGCGGCGGAACCACTGAGCTAAATCCCCGGCCCTGCCATCCTCTCTTTCTTTTCTGAAACTGGGTCTCACTACGTAGTTCAAGCTGGCCTTGAATGCAAACTTGATAGAGCCTTCTGCTTTAGCCTCTCAGGTACTAGGATTACAGGCACCCCGCCCCCCCCAGCCCCTCCATCTTTACTAGTAGAGCCATTCAGCTTTGTTAACCTTTGGATACTCAGTAAATTCTATGCTATTACTGTTGAATTCTTTTCTGTTGTTGATGGAAGTATAGTTGCTGCCTTTTGTACATATTTACTGTATGTCAACATTTGGTTTGTCTTTGCCTTGATACTATTTTATGGACCCCTTTTCTATGGTTAAGGGAGGTATATTATCAGTTGTTATGGTATGTCAATATCCAGTTTTGACTTTGATTTATTATTGCTGCCGATTTCTTGATATTGCCAGGGTGCCAGAGTTCTTGCTATTAATTGATTTTCTCTGTATGCCAATATCTGGATTGCCTGCATGTCATTAACAAAACTGTGGAAAATTTCCAGACAACTAGGTGCTGGGCCAATTACACTGCACCCTCTTCTCCCAAATTAAAGGAGAGGGTTGGATCTTGGGACAGAGGCAAAGGCCTATAGTTAGCTATGCCCAGAGTGCATCACTGAAGAGCAGACACTAACAAAAGAGACAACAATAGGGGCCAGGATTTAGCTCAGTGGCACCGCCCCTGCCTCGCAAGCACAAGGTCCTGAGTTCGATCCCTGGTACCAAAAAAAAAAAAGACAACAATATTCTGCATACAAGAAACACATTTAATTCAAAAAGAAATCCATAGGTTAAAAATCAAGATAGAAAACAATATCTGTTGCATCAGGACCCCCAAAACAAGCAGAAGTAGCTATCCTAGTATCAGACAAAGTGGACTTCAAGCCAAAACTGATCAGACAAGGAAAAGGTCAGTACATATTGGTTAAGGGAAAAATTCAACAGGACGAGATAACAATTATAAACATATATGAACCAAACACCAATGGACCCAACTTCATACTAGATAAACATTAGCACAATTATAAGGGGGACTTCAATACCCCAGTGTCATAATTAGATCAACTAGACAAAAAAAATCAACAAAGAAATATCAGAGTTGAACCAAACTTCAAACAAACGGACTTAGGATAAAGAACATGTGGGTTTTTAAAAAATACAATGGAGTACTACTCTGCCATAAAGAAGGTTGGGCTTCAAATATTTATAGCTAATGGATGGACCTTGAGACCATACTCTTTGTTTTTTTTTGGTACTGGGGATCAAAATCAGGACCTTGAGCTTGAGAGGCAGGTGGGAGAACCACTGAGCTAAATCCCCGGCCCACTTTTCTTTTTTTGGTTAAATTCTTTTATTGGTACATTTTAGGTATACAATACATTTACATTTATCACTGGGTGCTTGTACCTGTACATGATGTATTTTGGCTATTTTTTTCCCCATTCCCTGGCTCCCTTCACCCCCTCCACCCTTTTATTTACAAAGACTTTGTTTCCATTTTTTCCTTTTCTCATAATTTTTCCTTCCCCCTTCCCCTCCCACTTTCCCTACCCCTTTGGACCTTTTCTTCCTATTTCAAATTACCAATTATTCGTTTTAATCATTTTAATCCTTATTTACACTTTCAGTTTCTCATACTAGAGAAACTATTTGGTATTTACACGTGTGTCCTATTTATTTCACTTAAGAGGATGGCCTCAATATGCATCCATTTAGCTATAAATGTCTCTAGTTTCTCATTCTTTATGGCTGAGTAGTACTCCATTGATAAAAAAATCCACATCTTCTTTATCCAGTTTCCAGTTGATGGGCACTTAGGCTGTTTCCATGTTTTAGCAGTTACAAACTGTGCCACTATAAACACGGGTGCACATATATCGCTGTGGTATGATTCTTTTAATTCTTTTGGGAAGATACCCAGCAGGGGAATAGCTGGGTCAAATGGGACCTCCAGCCCTGGTTCTTTGAGGTATCTCCATACTGATTTCCACAGTGGCTGCACCAGTCTGGACTCCCACCAACAATATTCCCCCCAAACCCCCGCCAGCATTTGTTATTGGTTGATTTCTTGATAGCAGCCATTCTTTCTGGGGTGAGGTGGAATCTCTGTGCTGTTTTCATCTGCATCTCTCAAATGACCAGTAATGCTGAACATTTTTCATATGTTTATTTGCTGCTTTTACTTCTTTGAGAAATGTCTGTTCATTTCAGATGCCCATTTTTGAACTGGGTCTTTGAATTTGGGGGGGTCTGATTTTTTTCAGTTCTTTATATATTCTAGATAGTAGTCCTTTGTCTGAGGTACAGCTACTAAAAATTTTTTCCCACATTGTAGGTTGTCTCTTAGCTCTGTTAGTGGTTTCTCTTACAGTGCAGAAGCTTTTTAATGAGATCCCAGTTGATTCTTTGTGCTCGTTCCTGTGCTACTGAGGTTTTGTTCATAAAGTCTGTTCCTATGCCAATGCCAAGACTATACTCTTAAGTGAAATAAATCAGACACACGTTTAAATACCACATTGTTTCTCTGGTGTGAGAAAGTGAAAGCAGAAATAAGGACTGAGATGTATAATGGATGTTGGGAAATGGGAAGGAAGTGTTCAAATGGGAAGAGGAACAAGGGAGGGGGGAGGGAGAAAGGAATGGACAAGAAAAAAGTGAAAACAGAAGGAAAAAATGGAAACAAAGCTTTTGTACATAGGGAGGCTTGAAGGGGAAAAGGCATAAAATAAAATTTATTGAAAACAAATAAACAGGGCTGGGGATTTAGCTCAGTGGTTTTGCCGCCTGCTGCGCAAGCCCAAGGACCCAAGTTCGATCCCCAGCACCAAAAAACCCACAAAAAACAAACAAATGGACTTAACAGACTACAAAATGTTCCAACCAACAACAGAATACATAGTCTTCTCAAGAAGAATGTGGAATTTTCTCCAAAATAGACTGCACACTAGGCAATAAAGCATGCTTCAGTAGATGCAAAAGAATCATAATTATCCTATATTATCAGATCAGAGTGCAATTAAATTAGAAATCAATGGCAAAAGAAATCACAGAAATTCTGCAAACACATGGAAATTAACAGACCCTTGAATAAGCAATGAGTTACAAAAAAAAAAATCAAGGAAGAAATTAGTTCCTAGAATCAAATGATAATGCCCATACAATATACAATATACCAGAACCTATGGGATGCAATGAAAGCAGTCCTAAGAGGGATGTTTATAGCTGTGAATGCTCCCATCAGAAAACCAGAGCCCAAATAAATAATCTAATGATGCATCTCAAGGTCCAATCCAAATCCAAACCCAAAGCTAGTACATGGAAGGAAATTGTAAAGGAGAACAAAAATTAATGAAACTAAGACAAAAAAAATACAAAGAAACAATGAATTGAAGAGGTGGTTCTTTGAAAGAATAAACAAAATAGACAAACCCTTGTCAATCTTACC